CAAGTAGGGGTCTCTGCAGACGAGTGGGCGTGTCACAACAAAAGGCGATTCTAAAGCGACACACCTGATTTGACGGACTTTTTTTAAGGGACACACCTGACTGGACAAGCAAAAAAGGGGGGGCGTCACCATACGGCACCACCTGATTGGACAAGAACAAAAGGGGCGTTACTGTACGGCACCACTTTTTCTGGAGACCCCTACTTGGGTCACATTTCTCCTGGTTAACCTTAGTGTTGGGGTCAGGGTCAGGCTGTATAGAGGTCAAGCAGGGTCTAAGGATACCGTCATGTAGGCCTCATAGCCCACAGTGTTCATGCTTTAGACACGCCCACTCTTGTGGCACACCCACTTTGATTCCGCAGATAACCCCTTCTCAAGTAAACTGCATCATGGCAGCCCCCCGCCCCACCCCCCACCACCACTGAAATGGGCAAAACTGAAGCGAAGGTGCTTCTTAAAGAGACAGAGGCCAATTTTAAGGCATTTAGAAGAGGAAGTGATGAGAAGATAAGTTTATTTTCTATTTAAACATAAAAACAGCATTTTAATAACAGCTAAAGGTGACATAGATACTTTATTATGGTATAGTATTTAAATGTATGCCTGAGAAACAATATTGGCCCTTTAAACAAACAAGTAAAAGCATTACCTTTAGCTGCAGGTGATGATCAGTGCACAACACGAGTAATGACTGTTAATCCTAACCTACTGAAGGGAAAGTCTTGTAGCAAATAAAGCAACAGTTTAGATTATTACTGAGAGATTATCATTTCAAACCTGTCACTGAAAACAAGCAGCAGAAATCCTGCAACAAACAAGCTGATTATTTTTTTATTTCAAACCTAAACCTGCAGGGGTTTTTGTCTCTGCTGTCAGAAAAAACATGATGCAACTCAGTYGTAAAACATTCTTTTGTTTTTCAAGAAAATGATTTATTCTGCTCTTTGTCATTATTTAAACACATTTTTGTGGAAACTGGAGCGTTATTAAAGCAGCTGATGTAATGTAAATTATGACAGGTTTTCCATTCTTGGTGAATCCTGTTATTGGCACATTTGTCTTTATTTGATGTACCCTGCCTGCACTGTTCTGTTATTTCTGTTACCCAAATTTTGTTGTTTTCTTTGCTATTTTGTTATTTGCTGATCAACATTTTTACTTTACACTATATATTACCCTAAATTTTTATATTTTTACTCTTTTTGCAACTTCTGCCTACTGAATTCTGTATTCTGTATCGTTTTTATTTTCATTTTTACTCTTTTTAGCGAGTCGAACAGTTTCGTCTCATCCCAAGAATTTCATTGCATTGTTGGCTCTTGTTAATAAGCATTTAACAATAAATCCTGAATCCTATTTGTTTTTAAGGATTTTTACTTTAGCTGCTAAGATAATACAAGTCAATGCATTTTCTATGAGGAAAAAATTATTTGCCAAGACATAAATGTCATGTGAAAGGAAAAACATAAGTATTTTTGCAGAGAGCAGAATAAATCCTGAAAGAATTTGTACATTTTGCTGCCATCTACTGCTGCACTGTTAGACCAGCATTAAGCAGAAAACCAGACAAGTCTTAATAATATAGGCATATATTTATTCATACATATTCATTTATATTGGTTAATTATAAAAAAAAGAAAAAAAAGGAAAAAATTTACAGTAATTGTATGAACTACAGTCACTTTCAAAACTTTTTTTTTAAGTTCTCAGGCGCCAATCTACCACCAACACAGACACGGCCCTCGATCCAAACCCTCCACTTTCCTCCAGTGTTTGGGACAAAAAAAACAAAAAACCAGAAAACCAGTAAAGACTCTACTTCCATGTAAACCYGTGAGAAGCCTGACGTAAAGAACGACAGCAGTTTGACGCCGTCAGGAGAAATAGGTCYGGTGTTTTGGAGCCTGTAGTGTATTTCTGCGTGTTTTCTTACGGGGTCGAGTTAAAACGTTGTCCGCTGCGCTGCTGAGTCAGCAGAAATCCAGTAACTTCTGTTTTCTATGAATAAATTCTCTTAACCTTGAAGCCCAGTGGCTTACATTTCATTTATCTGACATTTTTAACTCAACTCGGTACTAATCCCCCCTGAAGCCCCCTTCAAACAAAACAGATAAGAGTGGCTCAAACTGGATTATTCTGGACTTCTTGTCAAAATGCCTGTTGAAAAAAAATCTTCTGGTGCTTCCCACACATCTTAAAAAGGTACTCATCGCAAAATATGAAAACAAAAAGGTGCTGTTTGCTTACTTTTAGTTTATATATGATGATAAATTCTGAAATGCGGGTACGCACTCAATGTAAACAAAAAAAATCATCTAAATCTGACTTGGAGGGCGGCTCTCCTGCATGATTTTCTTGTTTCTCAGCTCCAACACACCTGATGCAGGGATTGAATTACCTCTTCAAGTTCTGCAGAAGCCTGTTAATCATCCATTCATTCATTCATTCAAACCAGGTGTGTTGGAGCAGAAAAACCTGAAACTTTTCAAGGACCAGGACTGGACACCCCTGCCTGGTTTGGGACTTTTTTTTTAAAATGATTTTGTAATGAGTGCCTCGAAATCAGAATGAGGACTGATATTCCACGTTGAGTTTTCTGCTTGAAGTCTTTGGAAATGAATRGAGGATCAGACGGGGTAAAAAGAGTGGGTCTGCTGCCGCAGCTCACATCGTTTGAAGCCTTTTCCTGGATGGAAACATTCAATAACGTTCACATAAACTCAACCTCACATTTAACATTTAGATCAATTGCACGGGTGCCAACAGTTGCCCCTGGAACAAGGGGCTACACTCGGGACATTTAGTAACAATAAACTCTGGAAAAGAAAAAAAAAAGAAAACAAAATAAAAACACCATCAGGTCCAAATGAAGGACTGGAGAGAGGACTTGAAGCTCAACTCGGAGACACTGAACTCGTGACTGCAAAACACAAAGCAGACAGAATCCAAACCACAGCAAAACGGAGAAAGAAACCCGGAGAGGAGGAGAAACAGTAAATGACACCTTTAGAGACTGAATGAAGCGAGWGCAGGACCAAAGAAAAGCCTTCAGTGCTTCAGAGGATGAGGAGCTGAAGTCTTTAAAGCCCTCTGCTGCAGAGCTCACTCCTCAACATTCAGTCAGTTCCTCTTAAAGTCCCAACGCCCTGCAGCGTCACTGGTCACAGACGGGAGGGGYGGGGGGGTCGTAAAGCCGGGGGGCTCACGCCATCCTCTGCAAGGCCTCTCAGGGAGTCGAGGGGCGACATGAAGCCCGTTCATCCTGTCCAGCAGCGTGTGCAGCAGAAACAAGAGCAACCTCATGGAATCAAACGGACTGAAATAAGACAGAGTTGATTGTTTTCAGTTGGCTTTTTCGTTCCATTGTCCAGGCCTGACAGCYTGAAGTCATGTGGTGACGACAGATTTTTTTTTATTCTTTCGTTAAAAAAAAAAGAAAAAGTTTACTGTGTCCGTGAGCCGTCACAAGCCAGCATCAGTTCCTCTCGAGACCGAGAGCTGGCTCGAGCTCTCCGGAAAGCTCCGGCACGTGTTCTCAAGCAGAGCCTGTACGTAAACGAGCGTGCTCGAGCTGCGCCGGGAGCTCCCCTCGGACCGACTTCCCGCTCCGCCTCGCGTCGTCGCCGTGTTCGGCTGGCTTCAAAATCCTCCACAGTTCTCACGTATTTACATCTGCTTCTTTAAAAAACTAGAAGTGACATGCAACGTTTGGCATCTTCTTGAGTCCCTACTTGTGAGTCTTAATGCTTTTAGAAAAATATTTGTCTTTTTTTTTGTTTTGAATCCTCTCTCTTCGGTATGTTGGAGGTTGTGATTGTAACAGAGAGAAGAGGTGAGAATACAACGGCTGCAAGCCTCAGCGTGCTGTTAGTCGTCATTTACGAGATGGTCGTCTTTGTAAAGTGTCTCATTGTTTTATTGTAAGTGCAAATAGCTGCAGGTTTGTTTTATAAAAGGAAAAAAAGGCTTTCTGCTGTTTGTGTGTTTGGGGTTTGGCAGCTTCGTCACTGCCTCCCCATTTTCCTTTTTTTAATTTATTTTTTAAACCAAAGACTCAAGCGAACACTGGTCTTATTCTGGTGCAGTTCCTGTSTAGAGGTAGCTCTTAAGAGACCATCAACACCAAGAGTACTGTGAGGTTAACTGATTAAACAATATAACCCCAAAAACAGAACAAAATGGTTTCTGATTTGAAGAACTTGACTTTTCTATACTTCATATAAGGAGAAAATAAAATACCCCAACAGGGATGAACGCCACAGATTATTTGCAGAACCCTCTTGGTAATACTGACGTGTCCCGCTGAAGACGAGCCAGGAATGTGTTGACATTCGTGTGTCTGCATATCCACTTGTTAGGAAACATTACCAACGTTCCCTCTCCGTTTGGTTCTCTTCCTCTCTGCCACCCCCCCCCAAAAAATTAAATAAAATAAACTGAGGGGGACAAGACAGACCAGCATGATGTTTCTAGACAGGAGGTGAGGAAGTGTGGAGTTCAGGGGTCCAGGTGATGAGCTGCAGGGTCTGAGAACCATGGGAGAAGGTTGTGATGGTGGGGGGGTTGTTGTCTTTACATCATAGCAGGACGCAGCAGCGGCAAAACCTCTGGCGGCTGCCCCCTACAGAAGGAGGTGGAGTGACAGGAGCGAAGTACGCGTGCACTTTGATGTTCGGCAGATGAGTCTGAGGAGAAAAATCAGAAATCAAAATCTCTTATCAACTCCAAACATACTTTTTTTTTTAAACTGCTTCAATAACTCGGCATGTCTGTGGAAACGCACCCCGCCCGCCCCGAGGCTCATTTTTATCAAAATAAAAACATGAGATTAACATGAGGACAAATCCAGCCTGATCTGGACGGAGTGTTTTACTCACCGAGGAGGAGGTTTAACAGTTTTTATCCGTGCCTTTATGTGGGAGGTGCAGTGAGTCAGAAACAAAAGTTCAATTTGGAAAATAAAAACGTCGGAATTAGTGTCACCAGTCTGTGCATCGAGCTCAGCAATGATGGTGAAGAGCTGCAGTGCGCCACTCTGCTGACTTATTTACTGCTTCACCTCTCTACTGGTGCCAACATCAAGTCTGTTCTCCAAACCTGAATGGTTCTTTAGCAGCAGTAATATTGTTTAAAGCAGAGTTTAAAGCACATCCGACCCGAGAGTGACCAAAATGTGGCCCGCCAATTGGTTCATTCATCTCTAAAGTCCAAACCCCTGGTTTTCTATTCTAATTACTATGAGTTGTTTTAGTTAGTACAAACACGTTTGGTATTTACAGAAACGGCAGACTCTTGGCTAGAAGCTGTTAAAAAAACATTTCTATGAATATCTAAGACAGTTAAAACTACAAGCAGTTTAAGATAAAACTTTGAAAGTGAAAATAAAATTGGTTTAAAAAGATGGCAAGTCAGAGATGTCAAAATATTTGTGTTAAACAGGAGGCAGAATGTGTTATTTTTGTTTTTGATAGTTTTATTATCACTACGTTTATTACATAGGGTTCTTTATGTTGTATTCATGATTAAATGCAGCAAAAATAAACTATTTCAAATGTAACAGATCTTTGTAATACTTGGTTTATTTATATAATGACTTTATTGCTGAATGTTTGGCCCCTGAGCTGTTGGTCTGCATGAACTGTGGCCCCCGGAGCAATTTAGTTGTGTGTTCAAATTTGTGGTGCCCCGTGTGGGGCAAGCCAACACTGTAAAGCTATGTTGTCTGTGACATTCAATTTCGTAATAAATACAAATGKATCTTTGAAAAGATAACATTGCTAACATATTAAAAAATTACTCTGCTGAGATGAACGGTTGTTGAGATATTCACATGTGAAGTAACAGTAAGTGATGTCAAAGAGGAATGGCTGCACGAGAACAGAGCATCGCTATGATGGCAGACAGCWCAGACTGTAGAGAAGAATCTGATATTTCTTTAGATTATTTTGTGTCACACTCAGAGAGATGAAGAAACAGAGTTTAATTAATACAGTTGTAATAAACAAAGCTCAGAGAGCTACTTTTCTTAAAGAGTTCCCCTTTGATGTCACTTCCTGCTTCACTTTGGCTGTGCCAAGTTTCAAGGTATGTGACAAAATGGGTAAAATCATGTGTATTATGGCAAGTTTCTTCAATATAAAGATGCTTTCTTTTACTTTTTGTATTTGAAGAACATGCACTTCACAGGCCCTTTAAGGCTGGACAAGTCCATCTCAGTAAAATTACAAATAAGTTAACGCGGTATAATAAAATTAAAACTCAAACTATAGTGCGCTTCTAATCTCCTAAATCAGTTATCATTTAAAACCTTTGATATTTCTTGGGTCTTCTGTAAAAATAAAAGTATGTAGACTGAAATCTTCAATAAAAGACAAACACTTATCAAGAAGGCTGCCACAGCTAATCAAATGAATTCTACAGATGTTGAGCTAAAACTAGGTGTGGTAGTAGCTGACAGTCGTTCACAACACATACCCAAAGTGCTAACAGATTATGCTAATGGCAACTTAAATATATTAAATTTCACAACACAAAATTTAATGCTTACGCCTGAACACAAAGCCTTCCTGCTGCTCTCCAACACGACCTACCCTTAGTCTCTTGATGCCTGCGCGGGTAATCTGCTGGCAGTCGTAGAGCTCGATGCGATCCAGACTGTGGCAGCTCTTCAGGTGTTCCAGCGAGGCGTCCGTTATGAGGGGGCAGTTGTCCAGCTCGATCACCTCCAGCCGGTCGTGAGCGCAGGGTCCGCTGCCGAGGTGTCTGATGCCATCATCGGTGATCAGCTCGCAGTGAGACAGACTCTGCGGGAACACGGCGGTCACCCACGCAGGAGCGCCGTTACTCGAGTGTTTGTCAAAGCGAGCCGAGACGTGGTGCGTGTGCCAACGGCGCAGGAGCAGAAAGAAAAGAAAGACTCACCAGGACTTGCAGGCGAGGGCAGTGGATCGACAGCTGGATGAGAGTTCCATCTGTGATCTGACAAAAAACGGGGGAAAAATATGTATATATAGGGTTCCTACAGCTTAAGGCAAGTAAAATTTAAATCTTTTTAAGACCCAATTAATGCCACTTGAAATGAAATTTAAAGACCAACTTCACAATAAAGACAAATGGAAAAAAACAGCAACAATTTTAGCCAAATGTTTATTTTAAAACAAAACAATGAGCTGRGAGAGGCATTCAGTCAATTATTTAAAAAAAATGTTCCCAATTATTGTAACATTTCAGATGAATTACAGTCACCCTACTTACAATGTTTTAACATTTTTAAGACTTCTGAAAGATTGATTTAAGACTTTTTAAGGCTTATTAAGGCCTTATTTTTGGATCGATAAATTCAATGCTTTTAAATCAAAAAGAAAAAATAAGTAGGTCCTCTGGATGGGTTCTTCTTTAGTGAAATGTTTCGTCTCTCCTCCAAGAGACTTCTTCAGTCTGACGAGTTTCAGGTGAACTCAGCCTTATAAGCACTGCCTCCACATGGACAGACAGGTTAGTCACAGGCAAAAGAGGGCCATCGCCTAACAATAGGCTTAAGTAGCTTGATTAGGCTCAATGCTTTTAAGACTTTTTTAGGATCTGCAGGAACACTGATGGACTGTAGATTTAATTGAAAAGATCCTCTTAAATACCTGCACACATTCTTCTAAATCCATCTTCTCCAGCTCATGGCAATTCTGCAAAACAAGAAAAACAGAAAAGGGTTTTTAAAGGATCGACTGCAGTGTCTTATTATTTAAAACCAAATAGGAATGTCGAGTTGCTCTGAAAACGATAAACACACTCACCCTTGCTAACGTAGTGAAGCCCACGTCTGTAAGCTGAGAGCAGCGAGCCACTTCTAATATTCTGAAACAGAAAGACCAGTTATACAATCAGAGTGAATCTAAACTATTTATTGTGTTTGGACAAAATCTATTCTAATAAACTAAAACAGATAAAGAATAAGAGCTCGAGGTGAACTCTAATTCTCTGACAGTCATTAATCATTTTCTGGGATTCCGGTGAAGTTAGGTGTGTACCTGAGGCGGGGGCAGTTCTGGCCTAGGGCGTGCAGGATGGCGTCTGTAATGTTGGCACAACCCGACACGCACAGAGACTGCAGGCGGTGACAACCTCGACAAATTGTGATGAGGCCTTCGTCTGTGATCTGCTGCTCAAGAAAAAAAAAAGTGATTGGTTCATTTAAATCTACGTCCACTGTTCAACATAAAAACATTTCTCTTGCATTTCTGTTAAAAATCTAATGAAATGAGCAGCACAGAATAAATACAAAATACAACTTTAAAGCGTCTGTGACTTCACATTTTTGTAATAAATATTATTACWTTTTTGGAGAGATAACATTAATAACATGTTGCAAAACAAATTTCATGCCCTTGAGATGAGCGGTTGTTGAGATATTCAAATGTGAAGTAACAGGAAGTGATGTCAAAGAGGAATGTTTGCATGTAAACAGAGCATTGCCACAATAACCAACAACATAGACTGTAGAGAAGAATCTGATGTTTCTTTAGATCATTTTAAGTCCCCATCAGGAGATGAAGAAGGGTCAGAGTTCAAATCACGTTTCATTAAAACAAAGATCAGGGAGTTCTTAAGAGTTCCTCTTTGATGTCACTTCCTGTTTCACTTTGGCTGATTTGAGTTCAAAAGAAAATATACCAGTTATTCAACAAAATGGGTAAAATCATTTGTATTARGCCAAGTTTCTTAAATATAAAGATGTTTTCTTTTTGTCTTTGAAAGATATCATAGGTCCTTTAATGATTATTTTGAGTCAAAGAGGACATTTAAATCCTGAGAGCAATCACTTCAGATACATCCTGCCCAGGATGTTTTCTATAACTTTTTGCATTTGAACAATATGCACATAATATGCACTGTAAGATATTTTAACATCTGAAAAGTGAATTTAATCATCCAAGGGTAGATTTTTAGAATATGGGTCATTTTTGCCTGTACACAAGGACTGGAGAAAATTCATAAATATAAGGGTTCTTGATAGACGCACGAACGAGGAGTTAAGAAATTAATTTTCTACAATGATTTTTGATGATTCTCTAAAGTTGAAGGTTGAGGCAGAAACGAGAGCATACACAGTAAAGCTGACACCTGGAAGGAGAAATTCACTGAAGCACACCAAACCACAAACTCAAAACACGTGGAGGGAATTCAAATGGAAAATAAATCACAAAATTCTTCAGAACATCAGGYAAAAAAAGTGCCAAGATATGAAACYCACATCACCYACAACACCCACATATTTTGGCTCCATCCTTAYCGTTGCCTGTTCTAGAGGGAGACATGCCCTCAAGGAAGTTTTCAAAGTGAAAATCCCACTCCGGTAGCATTATTAGGAAAAATTCCAAACTGTTGACAACAAGGCAAAACGATACCTCTTGAACGTATTACTCACCGCAGAACTAAAAAAAACATAAATCCTTAAATGAAACCAGCAGAAACTCCCACATGTAATCTATGAATACAGAAGGTGTGGATCTGATGGAGCGCGTCACATTTGGCTACACAAATCCATCTTCACCAYACAGTGGAAACCTGTGTTACCAGCAACAAATACAATGAGAAACACCATCTGCTCCACACAGCACATCCTGAACAGGAGAGGCTGTAAGAATCTTCAGGTTTTACATGGGATTAACGATTTCTCCTCCTCCCATGATCGCCATGCTTTGTTGCTTGGCATTGAAATGTCTTCTGTGTCACAATGTTATGAAGAAACGTTTTTAGATGTAGAGCTGTGGAAGAATAAAACAGGTCGTCCTGATGCATCTCAGTAATCCAGGTAAAAAATCAAAAAGAAAAAAAACTGTATAGGTCTTCTGGACGGGTTCTTCTCTAATGAAATGTTTCGGCACAAACAGAGCGATGTTGTATATGCTGTTAAGTGCCAGGAGGACTGCGACCAGTTAGACATCGGGGAAACAAAGCAYCCACTGTTCAAAYGAATGTCCCAACACAGACGAGCTACATCTAATGGCCAGAACTCTGCAGTTTTCACTCATTTACAGGCCAGTGGTCACTCTTTCAGAGATGAGGATGTTCTCATTCTTGATAGAGAGGAACGTTGGTTTGAGAGAGGAGTAAAAGAAGACATTTTTGTGAAGAAAGACCGTCCATCATTAAACAGAGGTGGAGGCCTCCGTTTTCAGTTGTCCCCCTCCTACAGCGCGGCCATTGCCAGTATCACTCCACCCCCTGTTAACAATAGGTGTTAATTAGGTGTCAACGATAGCCATGTGATGTGAGTATCAATCAAATGGAGGCAGYGCTTAAAAGCCTGAATTTTGCCTGAAACTCTCAGACTGAAGAAGTCTCTTGGAGGAGAWACGAAACATTTCATTAGAGAAGAACCRGTCCAGAAGACCTACTGTATACTATTTTTTTCTTTTTAATAAAAACAGGTCAGCATAAAAAGAGTGAAAGTTAAAGAACCGGAGGCATCGGTACACCAAGAGAATAAAAGAAACCATTCTGAGAAACACTCATCGTGAAGACAGCCTCTGGACACACATGTTGATTCAATAGTTAATGTTTAACCTTGTTTAACCTCTGCACTAATGTCTTAAAGAGAAGATAAAGTAGTCTGACCTAATTATCAACTAAAACAAGACAAATAAACAAAAAACACACCAAAAGTGTGCGTGGTCCAAAATATTCTTATCTAAGAGAAGTTGCACAYTCTGATAAGACGTTTTCAGAACATCTGAGCTCAACGATATGAAGGTTTTGAAATGTTGCACTCCATAAGTTACTTATGAGTTTGAGAACTTTTTCCTGATGATAGCTGTCCTTTGTTTTTGTTTGAGTGCTTCTGTTGCCCAACCCCAAACCAGTGCTACAAAGAAAATTATTTTTAATACTTTCAGATAAAAACAGATGCTACAAAGTAGTATTTATTTGTAGGAGCTAAATGTGGCATTTGAAGCCTTGTAGCAGCTGAAGAGGACGTGGCTTTAGCATCCAAATAATTTGATTGTTACCTCCCTCCTAATAAAACCATGCTTGCTTTTACTACGTCTCGGGGGAAATTACAGGAGTTGAACAAAATTCAGATGGTATTTGAGGGATCGTTTAGAAACCCTTGTAATTCTCTAGGCTTCAAACTTGAATCCTGGTTTCTTAAAGGCTTGCCGAGTGGACTTACTGAGCATGTCTGCAGGTTGAGGGTGACCAGCTCTGGACAGTGAGCTCCGATGTGCTTCAGAGCCTCGTCTTCTAGCTGTGGGAGAGATCGGCACTGAGGTTAAATTAAATTAATTGTTGTCACATTCTCTTCTTCAACAATCACTGAAAGTACAACACAATTTATGTTAACAGCAGCACAAATACAACATTCAATTAAACAAATAAAGCTAATTTAAACCCTTTGTTTCTTTAAAAGGGATCCATGATTAGTTGTAACATTACATTTTGTTTGATAAACATATATTTTAACTGTAAAATAAAGACTGTAAAAATACTGTAGGCTGTTTAGTAATTTTTTAAAAATATATTTTAACACGGACGGGGCCATTTTATTTACACGCAAAGCATTCTGGGTAAATGATGGCGTTGATAGGTCCTCAGTGCGAGGCTGCTAGTGAGCTATATCCACCCTGAAGGTTAATCTTGGGACAATATCTGATGATTGACTCTTTTAAATGAAACCAGAGAGTGTTGACAGAGAGGAGAAGGTAGAAATGACTCAGCCTGGAACTGAAAATATGGAACAGAGCTGCTTCATGGAAGAAGAACCCCAGCTTAGCCTGTTAGCTTTAGTGCTGATGCTATATTGCCTTATATGTACTAGCTCGGTGCTAGCACAACAAATTAACAAGCTAAACTGAGGTCCTCCATCCATATTTTCAGTTACAGGCTGGGTCATTTTTGTGTTCCCCTCTCTGTCAGGTGGATGGAGGACCTCAGTTTAGCTTGTTATTTTGTCGTGCTAGCACTGAGGTAATACATACCGGTATATATGGTGATAGTGTCAGTGCTAGCACTAAAGCTAACAGGCTAAGCTAGGATTCTTCCATGAAGCAGCTCTGTTGTCCTCCATCCATATTTTCAGTTACAGACTGAGTCATTTCTACCTRCTCCTCTCTGTCAACGCTCTCTGGTTTCATTTAAAAGAGTCGATCATCAGATATTGTCCAASATTAACCTTCAGGGTGGATATAGCTCGCTAGCAGCCTCGCACCGAGGACCTATCCACGTCATAATTTACCCAGAATGCTTTGTGTGTAAATAAAATGACCCCGTCCGTGTAATCTATTTTTAAAATTTTAGTTACATAACTTACAAAACTAAACAGCCTACAGTATTTTTACAGACTTTATTTTACAGTTAAAATAAATGTTTATTAAATAATGTCTAATGTTAAAACTAATCGTGGATCCCTTTAAACAACTAAAGCTCATTTAAACCCTTTATATGTTTCTTTAACATTTGAATGACCAAACTGAGAGACCTTGAATCGTCTTTAAATGCAGTATTGTTGACTGTTAATACAACAGAATGGCGAAATAAGGCTTTACATTTGCTGTAAACAGAAACTGGCAAGTCTTTCACCCCAAAACATCTTCAGCTGAGCAGGAAACCAGTCACACTAAGCAAACAGTTACTGKTTTCTATTTAGAATCAAAATACAAGCAGCTTGTTTCATTCTGAGAAGCACTTCTTGTTTCCTGAGTGATAAATGACACAAATCGCAGCTCGTTCGGATAAATTCAACGGTACCTGTGTGCAGCCTTTGAGGAAAAGGCATTTGAGTCCAGGGCAGGAGCGCACCAGGGCCTGGATGCCGTCCTTCGTGACCTGGTCGCACCAGGAGATGTTCAGCTGCTCCAGCAGAGGACAGCCCTCACTAGAGGCAGGAAGAGACGGGTGAGAGGCAAATACTAACAAAAGAGGTCAAACCTAAATATAAAAGAACCAACTTGAGTTTTCAGGAGCCGTATGAAACAAATATTAGCTCAATCTAATATGCAGCTGAAGGACAAAGTGAAGTGAAAGTACACGTGATGATGTTGATGCAACACACCTGAGAGCTTTAAGTGACAGGTTGGTGATGGAGGTACAAGAGGCGAGGTCCAGGTGCTTCAGCTTAGGGCAGAACTTACTGAGACTATTACATGTGCTGCAACACAAGGKGCACAATGAGAGCTTTTCTGAAGGAGAGCTTGAGCACTGCTACATGAAGCAAACACAAACCTGTCAGTGATCTTGGTGCAGCCGTTCAGACTCAGCAGCTCAATATTCCTGCAGTTCTGTGCAAAAGTCCTGAAGCCACAGAGACAAATATTACCGTGAGAGCAGTCAAGGCCAACTCGTCGGAACTTAAAACTACAAGTTTAAATTATTTGGATTCCTCCCAAATTCACCTTAATGCGCTGTCACCAACACCCAGGCAACCTCTCAAGCTCAGCTTCCTGAGGAACCCTCCGCATCTCTTCGAAATGTTCTCCACCACCCGGCCCTGCAACGACAATCAGTCAGCTCCTCCGGCTGCGTTTTCTCAGGGTGTGMCGTCGTGGTTCAGGATTCGCTCACCTCGATGTCCCGCTGGAAATCAAAGAGGTCGATTCGCTGCCAGTTGCTGCCATCCAGGGCCAGGACGTTCCAGGACTGAAGCAGCGAGGGAGAAACAGGCACTTAGAATCAAGCTAGTGTTTGAATCTGCCAACTTTGTGCACACGAGGACATGCAGACGGTGCACACGGACTCACCCGGGAGACCTGGGCACAACGACATAGTGTGACCACATCCAGGAAGGAGAAGATTCTGGAAGACAGACAGGGACGGTTTAAAGACCCTGATTCCCCACTGAGGTGTGAATCAATCAGCTAATATTATCTTTGACCCTCAGGGTCCACGTTTGCCTCATCTGCAGGAAAGCTTGGTTTTCATAAAGTGAGAAAAAAGACTGGTTAAAAGAAAAACATATTAGGGCTGTGTAATTAATCGAGTTAACTGATTAATTTTAGTGCTGCATGGGTATAAATAAAAAATATTTTAATTGTGATTAAAATTTACAATCACTTTACTGTGGCTGAATATGTAGGTTTGTATATTGCAATGCACTCATAACAGGTCATGTTTGTAAA